GGTCGGTGTCACGGAGGTCGACGCCATGGTGGCCACCCCCACTCATCACCGCTCGATGAGGACGACGAGTCGCCGGAGCTCATCTTCACCAAGCCCGCGCTATGGACGCTGACGCCACCAAGGTCGGTGTCACGGAGGTCGACGCCACGGTGGCCACCCCCACTCATCACCGCTCAATGAGGACGACGCGTCGCGGGAGCTCATCTTCACCAAGCCCGCGCTATGGATGCTGACGCCATCGAGGTCGATGTCCCGGAGGTCAACGCCACGGTGGCCGCCCTCCACTCATCGCCGCTAGACGATGATGCCGTTTAGCCAACCGTGGTGCTCCCCACCGGATTCTTCACCAAGCTAGCTCTATGGAGGCCAACGGCACACAAGTCACCATCACCACTCACGCCCACTTCGCCACGAGGCGCCGCGGAAGGACAACGACACGAAGCATGCCACGATGCCGCCCACCGTTCGATGTCGCCAAGCCGGCGCCATGGAGGCCGATGCCACGGAGACCACCCCCACTCCTCGCGCCCACTTCGTCACACGGTGCCGCGGAACACAATGACACAGGGCACGCCACGGCGTCGCCCACCGTCAATATCGTCAAGCTGGTGCCTTGGAGGTCGATGACACGTAGGTCAACCTCGCCGCTCTATGGAGCCCGTCGTCCGCTTCGTCGCGCTGGAGGGACGCCGCTGAAGACGGTGATCTGGAGTTCGCCGTCGGGCCATTCGTTCACTTCATCAAGATGGTGCCGTAGAAGTCGACGACGCAGAACTCGCCATCACACTGCTGACCTCCATTTCATCACGCCGAGGACCACGACATGGTGCTCGCCACGATGCCTCCCGGCGTTCAAATCACCCGTCACACCCTTCGCCCACCTCGACGAGCCGGTACCATGAAGGACGAAGCCGCGGACCATGTCAACATCACCGACTCCTTCACGTGGCATGACGGTGCTGCTCGCGTCTCCTTCAAGGGAAACGAGATCCCATTTGGCATCGGGGTAGTGCCTATCCTTCATCTCGCCCGGACTCGATGGTGCCTTGGTGATGGTGTCACGTTAGTCCAGCCAAACATCGTGAAGTGGTCTACACAAGAACAAGAAGGCATGCTCCTGATACATACTCGTGTGCGTCTAAGGCGTGAAGATGGCCGTTTGGCTCACCACCGCATGAAGCAATGGACGTGGTACTCGGGATGTCGCCGCACATGCCGTCCATTTCCAGCCGGAGGATTTCGTCTACATCAAATGCTATAGAAGAATGAAGCTGAACATTAAGTACGTCTGAATGTGTGGCAGTGCACTACGTAAGTGGCCTTTGCACATGCATGGGCCATGCACGTAGCCAATGGCGAGGTGGCATGCTCACCGCTGGTCGTCATTCGCTTCAGCGCGTCTTACATCATTCAAAAAGAAGAGGTGGAGCTCGTCACAGCGTCGTACATTCGTGGCGCCGCACGCTCAAGGAAGAGTCCTTGCAAGGACGCCACATCGTGAAGATGACACCTTACAACGGCGCCTGTATCCTGCTTGTGAAGATGGTGCCTTGCCACGGTGCCGCTGCTACACGCGTCACGCTCGTTCATAGGCCGGAGCCGAGCAGGTTGGCACCGCCCGAGGACAAGGCGCGGCTGCAGGGCGACGCGACTTCAACAACAACACCGCTCCTCTACGATCTCGTGAGACGATGCCTTAACTACGCCGACTGCCGTGGACTCAGCGTCTGGCCGGGACGAGGTGTCGACCACTCAGGCCACGCTGACGCGAGCAACGCGACGGTCATCACTGATGATGGTCTCCACCGACAATTACTCCCGCAAGGCGTAGCCCCTTGCACACCCTGAGAAGCTACTGGTCGTCGAGAAGTCCGAGCCGAGCGCGATCCATGCTACCCCAACAACAACTCCTCCAACGCCGTCAAGACCGACGAGGCACGACGGCGAGGGCAAGCGCGGCCACCGCAAAGGCCACGCTACTTGCGGCGCGTGTACCGACGAGGACACGGGCTCCGCCCACACACACACATCGCCATCATCATGCATGGAGAACGTGAAGCGAAGACGACGAAAACGACCACACAACTCAATCGAAGGTATCCTGCGGAGCAACCCGCGGGAGTAATTAACCGGGAGCCTTCCGAGGCCCCGGGAACCAGGAGATCACACAATCGCCACAGTCAGCTTGGCCGTGCTAGTAGGACACGGAGCGCACCTTTTTTTATGGGATATTGCAATTTTATTTCTCCAATGAGATTAATGAAATACATGTTCCCGTATCTCTTTTTCTTTGTGTACTACGGTACACTGGCACGCCCGCATACTCAGTTTTCTTTTCCCGGCGTCTGAGAGAAATACACTCCCTTCTCCCTTCTCCCTGGAGTTTTAGATGTTTTTCTCGTGTCAAACAAGCACTTGACGCTTTAAACAGAACCACCGCACCTACGTACGTACTTGCCCAGTGGCTGGCTGCTGCTGCCTCATCCGCCCGTTACCTTGACCATAACTAACATACACACAATCAATACTCACTCATAGCAGACGGGTTAGCATCGGACCTGGAAACGGATGGGAGTAATTCATCTGACCAGTCGCATCCCGTTGATGCTGACAGGGTAACCGTTCAGCTGAACCATCTGGGACGTTTAGACAGAGCAGCAGATCATGTGGATGAGCTACGTAATCTTATATGAGCTATGTAATCTTATTTTGGACCGACTTGGGCGTGTTTTGCTATAAACCTTTTGGTACTCGGTGACTTGGACTTACTTTTGCTTAATAAAATGGTTGTGTGCATATGCAGTGGCCGGGCTATCCCGTTTTCGAAAAGAAAAATGCGTATTGCTAGTGAAACTCATTAGAAACATAAGCGTATGGGGGCAGCCACCAGCAGTACTAGCACCAACAGCTGCTTTACTTGAGTTTGAGTGAGTACAATGGCGGCTGACAAACAAGAATACCAGCACAGATGCGCAGATGCGCGATACATACAGAATGCGTTTCTTTTACGTCGTTTCTCTCTGCAGTTTTCTTCTTTTGCAATGGTTGCTACAAGTTTGGCAAAAAGGGCGTCTACAGTAGGTGGTGAGAGCTCATCCATACTCAGGTTCAGATGCTAAGGGACACATATATATGTACAAGAAAGTCATAAATAAACAAGGACCAGCAACAAAGCAGAGAGCTGTGGGGTCTTCATTCTTTGACCCCTACACTCTTCAATGCCTTCATTTGATCTTGGGAGTGATCTCAACTGGGATTGTTGCCCCTGGAGCTCTTTGGCATTAGCTCTCACCACCATTTCTACGGATTTCGGTACGAATTCCTCGAGACCTGTAAAAGGAAGAACCAGAACAATGACCATGGCATGTAGGATGAGGTGAAAAAGATTGTTGTTACAACTTCAAGGGATTTTCTTAAGAAAACAAAGCATGTACAAAAATCATGAATAACCATCACTTGGTATACAAAACTGCTACTACTCACCCAACTTGAAGTCGGCGAACTGCGCACGGGGGTTTGAGATGCCGGTGACCTCCCAGGAGAAAAGGCTGTCGGTAAAGTCCCAGGGGATCGAGCATGGTTTGCAGCAGGGGAACGTAAGATGGAGCCGCCATTATGGTATGGCGACAGCGGAGAAGCCATAGGGGTCTTTCTTTGTCCTTGAGACAGAGGTCCACCACTAGGAGATATAAGAGGCGACAATGATTTGCCTGGCGGTAACATGTTTATTTTGATCCTGCGAAACGAAGGAAAGTTACACCTCTATACCAATTAAACATGCAAAGCACCTTCCCCGCCAAAAATAAATAAATAAAACATGCAAAGTACCAGCACTGAGCCACTTACTTGTTATGCACATCAACATACTCATCTGTCTCATCCAAGATATCTTCCTGTGAGGGGAGAAATTTAAGTCAGTTAGCAATGTGAGAAAATGCCAAACAATATAACCCTGTAAACCTGTGGACAATGCCTAGGCTTTATTAACGGTCGGATGACACCTTAATTAGTACTACAATTGTATTTTCGTGAACTAATGTTGAGGACGACTTGTGGCTTTGAGATTCGTGAGGATGACCAAAATGTTGTCAAGAATAAGAAATACAATAAAGCAATATAAGCAAGCCGTTCTCACATGGCATGGGTAAAACTTGTCACTTTATGATGAAATTAGGCTATAAATCCAAAAGGCATCATTAAGTTTTGAAAATATGATCACGCAACAATGTACCCCAAATAATTTCCCAACTAAGGAGAGGCTCTAACAAAAATAAGTCAAACCTGCAGCAGCTGCTCCATGACATCTTCCATTGTAATTATTCCCACCGCTTCCTCATCCATTGAATAGTGAGGAAGTGGATCGGTGTTAAAATCAAGAATGTTGTCCCGTTTTCTTTCAATTTTCTTACTGTATTTGTCATTGTTATTTCGACGACTTCCGGGAGTGTTGACATGTGAGGGTGACAGACCCAGACCTAAGAGTACACACAACTTATCAGCCAAGGAAGATAATACACATTTACTTGAAAGACATGTACTCCCTCCGTTCTTAAATAAGACGTTTTGGTAGTTCAATTGAACTACCAAAATGACGTCTTATACTCCCTCCGTCCCAAAATAAGTGACTCAATGAGTCACTTATTTTGGGACGGAGGTCACTTATTTTGGGACGGAGGGAGTATTTTAGGAACAGAGGGAGTAGTTGACAAGGATAATCAAATAATGAAACTAGGTGAATGAAACATGTACCATCAGCATGAGCATGTCCATTGGTCATTTTATAATCTGCTGTAAAACTGTTATTCTTTTCAACAGATGCTCCTTCTTTAGTGCGTTTAACAACCACAGCCATGTGGCTGTGACCTTTCTGAAACTCATTTAGAATGTCATAGAGAGGAAGATCATCAGCCACCCTGATGTACAGAAAACACAGCAAAACTATGAATGAGAATACAAGACAAATAATGCACACTGATTCGATAACATATACTCCCTCCGTCCGAAAATACTTGTCATCAAAATGGATAAAAGAGGATGTATCTAGAACTAAAATACGTCTAGATACATCTCCGTTTATCCATTTTGATGACAAGTATTTCCGGACGGAGGGAGTACATAATTTAACCTCAACGAACAGCGTGGAGTTTTTAGGGGCAAAATAGTGCTTGTATGCTCTCCAAAATTAAAATTGCTCAAATCTGATGTAATTTGTCGCTACCCAAAGGGGTCACTCTGCTTTAGCTCAGGACATTGACCCCTTCAAAATCTGTATCATCTGTTCTACCGTTTTTTCTAGAACTTAGAACTACTAGCCATTAAATATAATCAATTTTAAACCACACAAAAAAACTGGGAATGCAATTAGGTACTTTTTATGGCAAGGAAAACAATCTTAAATTAGTACATGTGCAGCATAATACAGAGCATTCCTGAACATGCTTCAGTGTTGGTGCTGATAGATTATCAACCAAAACGCCTAAGTCCATACGATACATGCATGGCAGAATCATATTTGTTCACCAGACAAATTTAACAAGGTCATAAAAGATGATACCTTGGAATTTTTCTGATAGTAACATGTCTAGTGGGCACCTCATCCTCAGGTCGGCAAGTAAGCAAGTTTTTTACCTAAAATGAGAGACTTTTTAGCAGATCAAAATAATACATCACTCAAAGTGGAAAAGCTAGGCTTGATTGGTGTTCAGGATGGTGTCATGTTTCTACACTCTTTATACTTCATTACACAACTCTGTACATGATCATGAAAGCTCCACAATAATTGAAAAACAAACTTTCAATGGCCATGTGCTACTCACAGGCTGGTGTTTGCAAAAAAGTCAGCTTCTAAAAGGACATTTTTTTACGAATAACAGAAGTGCTGCTTTCATATATTCAGAGGAGAAGTTCTGTACAGAAATGAAAATAAGATTTTTTTTTGGAAAAAAGGTGTCCCTGACGCGACATAGCCCCCCACCCACCCCTGTAACCTTTTTTTCTTTTTCTTCTGAAAATGACAACTCGAAAAGCAGTGATGAATTTATAGTGGAGATTTTCAGTTTTCACCACAGTTCTTTGATCAAAAGACTGATGTATTAAACCAAACAAAGATTAGCAGGTTCAGATATCTGGTTGCGCAATCATCTTAAGATTTCACAGTAATTATTGTGAGGAATGGTACAAAATGTTGTTAAGACACCGCTCTGGAAACTGCAAGTCCAAAATTATTCGCCATTTGTAAGATGCCGCTAAGAGTTCATAACATGGAGTCCGTAGCGGAATAAACCTAATTAACGAAATAGGATTTCTCAATCAATGCAATTAATTCATGAAAACCTGAGCTCACCAATATAAGACCGATGATATTGCTTGGTCTTCCAGAGTATATAGGAATACGGCTGTGCCCTTTGGTCATTATCATACCCACCGTATGCCTATCAAGAGACAAATAATAGCATCAGTACCATATATTCGATAAAAACACACAATAAATTGGAAGATTCATACACATCCAGCTTGGCATTTATGTCAAGTGAGAAGGTTTCAGATATGGGAGTCATGGCATCTTTTGCAGTCTTTTGAGTCATCTCCAATGCTCCTGCAATGATAGTAGTTTCATCATGAGTCAGCTCTCCACCTTTTCCAGCCTACGAACAAAGTGAGAAAAACAATAGTTTAGTAGTAGTTTGTATCTTTGTCTAAGGAGAGCAACAATAGTTAGTTAGTTACTTTAGTCCCTACTCCCTAGTACTTTAGCTTTCAAGAATAATTAAATATCGAACCATGAGGAGATTGGGGACATATAGAAATGCAGTCACAATGTTTCTAACAAAGGGTTATAGTGCTGTATAATGACATGGCCATCTAGAATCTAATGAACCAAAGTATATCATCCTGAGCTAACTTTCCAGGGCTTCAAGTAATATAGACAAAAATACTAATCAAATAAAGTAAATTAATTCCTGTAAGGCTGTACAGAGAAATTAAGTTACCATGAATGCAAATTGTGCTTTGAATATATACAACTCATAATGGGCACTTGGACGGGGATTTTTTTTATTTTGTTCTTCGCTGTTATACCAACATCTGTTTGTTGTGCTGATTGGCTTTGCAGTTTTAAACTGTTTTAAATGAAAATGCATACAAGGCTCATGTTTATTGCAGGACAAGTATGTATGCAACTTATAATACTAGTTGAGAAATTGGAACAGAGTAATAAATGTTGGACTGAAGAAGTGAAGATGGCATCTACTTATCATAAACGAAAGAGTGAATAAAAATAGAACTGACCGCATCGCCGTGCATATCAACCAATGTCTTTAGCTCAGCTCTCCTCATAAGTGCAACATGGCCCTTTCCCAATAGCCAGTCCAACAGCTGAAAAACAAAACATAAATGAAGCAAGATACAGAATCGACGAAAAAGAGGGGGGGGGGAACACATTTTGTTCTTTTCTTTTCGGACACACATAGAAGTGCCCATCATTTGCATTGGAAGAACACTGAAATGGCATGAAAGCTATATGCAACTACCCTGGCTAAGCGTGTGCTATAAAAATCAACGTACATGATTGATCGCAGATCGTTCGTCAGTAGTAATAAACTCACATTTCTTTTATCAAAATACGGTCCTTAAGAATAACCGATTCATATAAGAAACACTTAGCAGGGAAATGGTAAAACTGCCAAGTAACTGTTCTTAAAGAAAAAAACTGTTCTTCAAAACTGAAGATGCTTTCATACTGAACCTGAGTCAGCAGAACTCAATCATATGCACATGTAGAGGAGTGCATTTTCTGTTCATTTAGTTTGGCATTAGCGAGATACGGACCTTATTTCTCGGCCACCGATTACTTGCTCGTTGCGCGGAGATTTTAATCAGTGCGACAACAAGTCACTAGTAGGTAGGAGTACAAAACAATTCATATAAACAGGGCATGTTGACCTGTGTGGGTAGTTCTGATGACTAGATGAGCATGGCAAATTAGTTAATGATGAGGGAGCATGATCGACATCCCACTTGCAGTTGCAGGCAGGCGCCCACTTGGGATGCCTTAACTCTGAGCCCAATTTCGACTGCGCGCACTCAGAATTGGCAGTTGCTCCTCCCGGATGGATTCTTGCAAGGAGACAGGGGAAGAAATTGGGCGTAGTACCTTGCTGATGGGGTATGCCACCGGGAAGAAGACGACGAGGAGCACCCGGACGATGGGCGCTGCCTTGGCCCCCATGCTGAGGCCGTAGCGCGTGCAGATGGCCTGCGGCATGATCTGCAGGGTCCATCGAACCATCAAATCACCAGGTCAGGATTCAGGAACAAGAAGAAGAAGAAGAAGGGGGGAAAACAGAGCGCTGCTGAATCGGAATGTAAAATCGGAAGAGGTGGATGGATCACCTCACCGAAGGCGAGGATGAGGGTGACGGAGATGAGGATGGCGCCGAAGGAGGGGAGGAGGGAGTCGAGGAAGATGGGGAGCGCCTCCATGGCGAGGGAGTTGCCGATGAGGAGCGTGCAGAGGAGGAGGTGCTGGTTGGTGACGACGGGGAGGATCCGGGCGGCGTTGCGGCGGTCCTGCGGGGTGCCGGCCTTGGCCAGCACCTCCAGGTCCACCAGGCTGAGCGACATGAGGCCGAGGGTGAGCCCCGACATGAGCCCCGCGAACATCACCAGCCCCGCGCAGGACAGCAGGTACACCCAGAACATGGTCCCGCAGCACGCCTCGTGGCTCGACATCGCTCGCCGGCCGGCGGTCGGCCGATCTTCGATGGCCTCTCCGCGTGCTCCCGCGAGCGAGAAGGGGGCCGAGCCGAGCAGTGCCGCGGTGTCGAGCGTAACTGGCTTGCTGCTTGCTGGTGTGCTCGCGGCTCTGCTCTGGGGTGGAGTGGGGGCTCGGTCGGCTGCCTGCGTGCGCTGCGTTGGTGGGCTGGGGATTGATTTATGGTGGTACGTTGGCGTCGGGGTTTCGTTTCGCTTTCCACCGGCCGCTGCGCCTCGCCCACTTTTCACTACCGGACTCCTCCTCACCTCACCTCACGGCTCTGTTTTGTTTTTCTTGCCGGAGTTGGAAACGGCCGTCGTGCCCGCCACCGCCACCGTGAGCGGGGTGGGGCTGGGCCGGGTTTTGCTGGGGGCGTCGAGGATCCACCTGCGCTGCGTCTGCGTGCGCTCCGACGCCGATATTATTCGGTGGCATTATTCTCCTCCGAGTCCCAGTCCCAGTCCCGTGGCCGGCCGGCCGGCGTGGAGTGGAGGGAGGGACCGATGAAGCTCACCTCACGTCGCGTTGTCTAGTGGCGAGACGTACGAGGGCACTGTGCAGTCCATCGGTCGCGTGGGTGCATGCTCCCCAGTCCCCATATTCCGTGGGATTATTCTCTTCTCCCGGTGGCCGGCGTGGAGGATGACATGGCGGCAGGCGGCAGGTCCATCGGCCGGGGAAGCATCCCGCCCCGACAGCACAGGAACCCCACCCACGGCCACGTCCACCACCGCTGCGAGATTGTGATTATCTACCAAGCTCGATCATCACACCATCTTCTGCACGCCGTTTCTCTTTCTGTTTTCAACGCCTGCCTCTGCGTGCTACACAATTGTTTTACTGTGCATGTATTGAGATTGACAGCGCCTCTCTCAGAAGCAACAAAAAAGATACTAATTACTGTGTGAAAAATGAAAGGAGAAGCAATAGGACAGGACACAGCGTCCTCGATCGGGAAGGACAAGGCCTTGGTGCCCGGCAAATGACAACAGATCGTGTGACTCATCTCCTGACGTAGTAAGTACTCTGACAGCAACGTGTTTCGCTCGTCAGTCGGCTAAATTTCGTATTTCAACCATTTTCAGAGATTTGACCCTGCCTTACAAAAATTTCAAGATTTGTCCTTTTTCTTACCGTCAGGATCCATGACGATAGGGTATAACAGCCTACTGCCAAAGTCCCTGACAGTAGAGTTGCACACCCTACCGGAAGTTTTTTATAAGTATGGACTCGCACCTACCGCCGGGCACCTTGATAGTAGGGGTGTACAGGCTACCGCCAGCCTGTTTGGCAGTAAAGGCGTTTCCTGCCGTCAAGGTCCCTGGCGGTAGGTTGTTACACCCTAGTGCCATGGATCCTGGCGGTAGCAAAAAGGTCAGATCCCGACATTTTTACAAACTAGGGTCAGATCTGGATTAACTTTCAGAAAGGTGTCAAAACACGAAATCATCATTCTCGTCGGAAGCGTGCGCGTTTCTTTCCGGTAACTTGAGACGGCACTTGAACATATTACCTCTGTTTCAAAATAGATGATTCAACTTTGTACTAATTTCAATATAAAGCTGGTCAACTGTAATCCTAGCTTGCTCCGAGTCAGTGCTGGTCAACTGTAATCTTAGCTTGCTCCGCCAGACCTTTTCCAACCCACAGTGGGAGTAACATAGATGGTAACATCACACTTATTTAGGCAAAATAGATGATGTGGCATGTAATAAATGAAGAAAGAGAGGCATGTAGTAACATCACACATATCAAGAAAAGATAAGTCTACAACATAATAAATGCAGTGATGCATGACACAATACATATATTAATAAGGAGAGATGTGTTTGGAGTAACATATTATGTTACCATCACATAGCGCTTCTTAAAAAATATTGAGTCTATAAGTTAATAAATGCAATCATATATGATACTACTTCTATGACATTTTGCACTATGAAGGTAGTAACATAGACTAGTGTCATATGTATGACACTAGTCTAAGTTACTCTCCACTATGACCAGCCTACTACCCATTGTGGAGGTAGTAATATAGACTAGTAACATATGCATGTTACTATTCTAAGTTACTCATAGATGTGGCAAAGCATTTAAAGAGGAGATAGAACATTATGGTGACTTCAATAAGAACTAATGCTAAGCACGTGGACCTAGACAAAAAGACTACCAACCAATACATGAAGGAGTTTTATTATTAAACAATTAAATAGAGGAGACTTAGCTACAAAACCTAAGCACCAATGCATTAGGGACATTAGTTTTTTTAGTATATTAGGGACATTAGTTGCTAAGCATTTTAATGCACTTAGCACCCCACTTTAGCACCAATGCATTGGGAGAGGTCTAATGAGTTAGCACCTAAAGTCTTTCATGCATTGGTTAAATTGTTTAATTCAAGTGGTTTGCCTAGGTTCTCGCGCTTGGCATTGGTTCTTCCTAGGGTCATCTAAGTACTCTTTTCCCTTCTTAAATGTTGTGTCATGTCATTTTTTCGTTTATGTGACATGCTTAGCACCTATCCACGATAGAGCACTGAAAAAGGCCTCAGTGCTACAGGCAGAGAGTACCATTCAGCTGGTCAACCTGCTATACGTGCTATCGGTTTACATGCATGCCATGGGTAAGTCTAACCAGCAAACTTCAGATAACCGGAGCACCGTTAACCTAAGCAGCCGGTACCAAAACACCGTCCGTGAAATGAGTGTAATGAGCGTATCTATTTCAACGACGGTTAATTTCGAGCGGAGGTTGGAAAAATGTAACCGAGGGCAGCGTGTGCCTAAATGACAACAAACCATCTGACTGATCTCCTGGCGTTGTGCCCGTCGCCATTCCTCCGACGGCGACGTGTTCCCTTGGAGTCGGGACGTCGTTAGCGTGCTGGTTTCGACAGGCTATCGTCTCGCCGGTTAGCTTTTGACCGTGTGATTGGTTACACGCACGCACGGCCGTCGGATGCGTGCGCCAGGTGATGGACCCACGTCCGCCCGCACGCTTTCGTCAAAGCAGCCGTTCGCTGGCTTGTGCACACCGCCGTCTGCCACGGCCACGGGCGTGCAGCTGCGAGCTAGCCAACGAACGGCACGCAGACGCAGCAAAAAAAAGAAGAAAGAAAGCGGACGTTCTTGAGCACATCAAGCGGGGTAGGGCGGTGCCGGGCACACTTTATATGGGGCTATCTACGTGTGCGTGTGGGTGGGTGCGCGATATTCCGTGGCATTATTCTCCTGGCTTGGAGGGACCGACCAAGTTCATGTTGCAAGTTGCGTTAATGGTCTCCGTCCCACCCTACCGCCGCTGGTCCTGGCGGTAGGATGTCTAACCCTACTGCCAGAACCTCTGGCGGTAGGGTTTAGGGCAGTTATAAGCCGTGGGTCGCCCCACCCCTCCCCCTTCTCCCCCAACCAGCTGCCCTAAGAACAAAGAAGTTCTTCCTCTCGCGCCCTCTCTCATCTCCTCCACTCCCCCCCTCTGATCTTCGTCGTTTGTTCACCGTTTTTACGGATCGAGATGGCCCCGAAGAAAGCAAAGTAAGCTCCTTCGATCCCTTCAATTAGTTTTAGTCAAATAGCTTTCGATTCGTCGCATTATTTGATTCAAATCTCTCCCCTTTTTGCACAAGATTTAATTATTTTGAACCCTAAAATTGATATAGGTTGATTCTAGATGTTATATTGTGTTAGATATGAACTCTAGTCACTAGTTGGTATGGTTATGTGAAGATGAACCCTAGTTCATATTATTTTTGGAGGATTTTTTTTGGTATGATGCATGTTGGAGGAATTTATTGTGATATGATGATGCATGTTGATATGCTATGATGCAAGTAGTGGATATAGTTGGAGAACAAATGTTGAACCCTCAAGATGAACCTAGTTCATAATTTTTTGTGTTAAATTTTTTTATGATATGATGAATATTGGAGATATGATGCATGCTGGATGTGGTTGGAGAAATATGATATGGTATGATGCATTTGACCACATGATGAACCCTAGGTTTAGATTTTTTTTCAAGGTTATTAACCTTTGTGTGATGAATCTATATGTTTAGGTACGAAAGCTTGGAGCAAGCACCGCCGACTCCATCACCGCCTGCTCCTCCTACTCCTCTCCAGCACATTCCGTCAGAGATGCCGCTCTCGTACATGTACGAGACCTTCCCCGAGCTGCTACAGCCGGTGGGATCTGTCTCAGACGAGCTCCTAGAGGCCACGAGGGCAATGCGGTGGCACGCGAGGGCAGAGCGGATCCTTGACGATGTCATGTCTTGGTCGCAGAGCGTGAAGGAGTGGAAGGAAGTGAAGGCAAAGATGGAGGCAGATCCAAGTATCTGCGTGTCCGTCGGGAAGCGTGCATTGAAGTTGCGCAGAATTACACCAACTATCTCCTGAGCAATTTGGGCCGGAGAATCTACTTCGAGAGCAATGCGGAGGAGAGAGCCAGGATGCCGCCCCCAAGTGCATCTGCGTTCGATATCATCAACTGGGAAAGGGCGGAGGCGAAAACTCCAGCGGGCAGGGCAAGATGGGAGTGCTTGAACGGTCGGATGCCGACCAGCGTTTCGCCTCTGCCTGAACAGGCTACCGCCAGGGTCTCTGGCGGTAGGGTACTTATCCACGTCAGCTCGGGCAAACAGTTGCCGTTCCCCTCTGTCGCACCCTGCCGCCAGGTGCCCTGGCGGTAGGATGTCTAACCCTACCGTCAGAACCCCTGACAGTAGCGAAAGGGTCAGATCCTGATATATTTTTTTCAACAGGGGTGAGATCCTGAATTTCTATACGAAAAGGGTCAAAACCCGAAATTTGGCCTCATAGTGGTGAAGGTACGAGGACACTGTGCTGCGGGTGGATCGATCGGCCGGGGAACCATCCGGATCCGGGCCGCCTCGACAACACACAAGCCCCACCCACCGCTGCAAGGTAGTGGAGGCCAACTCGATGATCACGGTGACACATGGGCCAAATCCTCTG